ATAGGTATTAGGTCTTCTTGGAAGTTCTGGTAGAATTCCGCATTGAAACCATCTGGTCCTGGGCTTTTTTTGGAAGGGAGGTTTTTGATAACCGCTTCTAATTCTTCGCGACTAACAGGTCTATTTAGATTGTTCACCTGGTCCTGGTTTAACTTTGGTATATGGTATTTTTCTAAAAAAGTGTCCATTTCCTTTACATTTTCCAGTTTTGTGGCATATAGGCTTTTGTAGTAAGATCTAATGATTCTCTGAATTTTTTCTATGTCTGTGGTTATGTCCCCCTTTTCATTTCTGATCTTATTAATTTGCGTGTTCTCTCTCTGTCGTTTGATTAGTTTGGATAGGGGTTTGTCAATCTTGTTGATTTTTCTCCAGGAACCAGCTTTTTGTTTCATTGATTCTTTGGATTGTTTTCTGTGTTTCTATTTTGTTGATTTCAGCCCTCAGTTTGATTATTTCCAGTCTTCTACTCCTCCTAGGTGAGTCTGCTTCTTTTTTTTCTAGAGCTTTCAGGTGGGCTGTTCAGTCTTTGTTCTTTCCACAAAAGATTGACCCGAGGGTTATGTGGAATGCCTATGATGTGGGTTGTATCAAATGGTTGGCAAAATTGCTGAAAAGATTTGGCAGTGTATACAGGAGAATTGTCAGTTTTCAATATTTTATAGGGGCATAAATTTTTATTATTTTGGCAGAAAACAAAATATCTCTATAATAAAGGCAAGTGAAACAATGTGGGTTTTTTTTTTTGATCTTTTTAAAGCAGTAGGCACAAGCCTGGTAGTGGTGGCGCACGCCTTTAATCCAGGATCTCTTAGTTCAAGGCCAGCCTGATCTACAGAGAAAGTTCCAGGACAGGCTCCAAAGCTACAGAGAAACCCTGAAAGAAAAGCAGTAAACAACAAACTTTTGACATAAAGTTGGACTGTGTTATTTCTTTCTTGTTGAATGACTGCCAATAGTTGAGGCTCTTCAAGGCCACAGCCAGAAATGATCCTTCAGTGTGTGAAGGCCCAGTGTAAGGACGAAGCAGATATAAGAAGGACAGATGGCACTTTGGCATGCAGCGTTAGCATTCTCAGGCCAGCTGCTGGACAGTAACCATTCCTGCCTCCCCTGCAACCCCGAGAAAGATGGGAAACGAAGTCTCGCTCTGTCACATCAGGGCCCCCGTCTAAGTTTAGAAAGTTCCTCTGTCTTTCTTCCAGAATCTGATGACTAACACTGTGCTCCGAGTACCATTTGTCCATAATCCTCAGGAGGATGTGTGAGCATCACAGTACCTGTCTTCTCCTCAGGAGGGTGTGTGAGCATCACAATACATGTCTCCTCAGGAGGATGTGTGAGCATCACAATACATGTCTCCTCAGGAGGATGTGTGAGCATCACAATACATGTCTTCTCCTCGGGAGGGTGTGTGAGCATCATAATACCTGTCTTCTCCTCGGGAGGGTGTGTGAGCATCACAATACATGTCTTCTCCTCGGGAGGGTGTGTGAGCATCACAATACATGTCTCCTCAGGAGGGTGTGTGAGCATCACAATACATGTCTCCTCGGGAGGGTGTGTGAGCATCACAATACATGTCTTCTCCTCGGGAGGGTGTGTGAGCATCACAATACCTGTCTTCTCCTCGGGAGGGTGTGTGAGCATCATAATACATGTCTTCTCCTCGGGAGGGTGTGTGAGCATCACAATACATGTCTTCTCCTCGGGAGGGTGTGTGAGCATCACAATACCTGTCTTCTCCTCGGGAGGGTGTGTGAACATCACAATACATGTCTTCTCCTCAGGAGGGTGTGTGAGCATTACAATACATGTCTCCTCAGGAGGGTGTGTGAGCATCACAATACCTGTCTTCTCCTCGGGAGGATGTGTGAGCATCACAATACATGTCTCCTCAGGAGGGTGTGTGAGCATCACAATACCTGTCTTCTCCTCGGGAGGGTGTGTGAGCATTACAATACATGTCTCCTCGGGAGGGTGTGTGAGCATCACAATACATGTCTCCTCAGGAGGATGTGTGAGCATCACAATACATGTCTTCTTCTCAGGAGGGTGTGTGAGCATCACAATACATGTCTTCTCAGGTGGGTGTGTGAGCATCACAATACATGTCTTCTGTTCATATCTCAGCTGCAGGCATGTTATTTGGTTGGTTTCTGAATTCTAAGATGTCAGTTTCTTTAACATCTCTGAATAAGTCAGTCCTGGACAATACATATTTACCCCCAGTAAGACACACTTTAGCAGTTGGTTTTTGTTAGTTTTTCTTGCAACAAGGGATTGAATCTCACAGGCCCCATGGAATTAAAAATGTTAATAGGTTTCCTTTGAAGTTAAATATCCTAGAAATCTAGTGTAAAATATAGCAAGACTAGAAACTAGGGTCATATTAATTTCTGTTCCACTGAGAAAACAGAGGGTTGGATGAAGCTTTTCTCGATGCTTCAACCTTGAAACAGTCTTGAATAAGTAAGAAGCAGTTACAGTGTTTGCATGGCCATTTAAATCCTTAATTTTCTAAATTACATGTACCATCTGAATTTTCTTTTCGTTCTTCATTTGTTTTACATCCCAACCACAGTTTCCCTTTCCTCCTCTGCCTCCCCTCCATCCTCTCCATTTCTGTTGGGAAAAGGGCAGGCCTTCTGTGGATAGCATAGTGAATAGGCATGGTATATCAAGCTGTCCTAAGACTAAGCACCTTGCCTTGTATTGAGGCTGGGCAAGGCAACCAGTAAGAGGAAAAAGTTTTATCCTGATCTCTATACATGTTCACAATATGAGACTGACACACCAAAAAAATGTACAATTTTAGAACTATAAATAAAGCCTGTTTTGTGCGTGCCACACTGAAGGTATCATGCTTGTGTTTTTTTCATTTTGTCACATTAAAAGCACAGCATTTCACTGTCTTTATTGTTGTCATCATTAGTGAGGTTGCCACCTGGCTTTTATAAAATAAATAAAAAAGAGCTGGGCGGTGGTGGCACCTGCCTTTAATCCCAGCAGCTGGGAGGTAGAGGGAGGTGAATCTCAATTATTTCAAGGCCAGCTGCCTGGTCTACAAAGTGAGTGCCAGGATGTACGTGTGTGTGTGTGTGTGTGTGTGTGTGTGTGTGTGTGTGTGAGAACTTAGAGGCTAAGGACAAGATTTTTTAATATTCCATCTTATTAAACATATTCTGTTGCAAATTGCTTAGATTATTCTGTGTAAAGCTATAAGAAAATAAACCATGTGGTTTTAATGTCTTAAAAAAAAAGACAAGCTTTTGCAAAGATCCTCCATTCAGAGGAAAGAAAAGGTTCCCCAGAAATAGAAACAAGAAGAGACGGTGTAAAGGGAGCACCTGGTCCATTCTGAGTGCACAGACTTGCTAAAGACCCTTAACGCTTAAATAAAGCAGGTGTAAAATTCCTGAGTTATTGTTCTGGCTTGTTAGGATCAGGCGTTTCCCTCAGCTGGGAAGAGAAAGTCACCTCATGTTGTCTCCTGGGCACAATGCATCAGAGACTTGTCCCCTGCGGTAGGAGTTAATTCTCCTATGGAGGATGAGAACACACACACACAACAACAACCTTAGTGAGAGATGAAGTGAAGCAGGGAAGTTTTCGTCCTGAGGAACTGCACTTCATGGAGAGGGGTTAAGAGCAGAGGAAATTGGAGCTGTAGGTAGCGGAGCAAAATACCACATGGAGGAGGAAAACTCCGCAAGAGAGACACTAAACACTCCGTGTATCTTCGGGTTTCGACTTTTCTTAATCCCCGTGTTTTTTTTTTTTCCTAATCACTTTCATTTTTAATTTTAACTGTCTTTTGTTTTGTTTTTTAATATTTTTGAGGGTTTCTCTGTGGAGCTTTGGAGCCCGTCCTGGAACTCGCTCTGTAAACCAGGCTGGCCTTGAACTCACAGAGATCCCGCCTGTCTCTGCCTCTGGAGTGCTGTGGCTGGATTTAAAAGTGTGCACCACCTTGCCCAGCTACAAATAATTTTTTTAATGTTTGGAGTTATACACACTATTGTCTGTGCTTACAAATGAAAGGCTGCTCCTTCTGTTTATCTGTCCTAATCAGCTGTGATTGTCAACTTGACCAGCCTAGAGTCATCTGAGAGGGAGTCTCAGTTGAAGGATTGCCCACACCAGACAGACGTGGTCTTCTCTGTGAAGAAAATTGTCTTGATTATAGATTGATAAAGTACAATGCAGCTCACCGTCAGCAACAACATTGCCTGGACAGACGGTCCTGGGCAGTATATTAAAAAAAAAAAAATAAAACTAGCTGAGTAAGAGGCTTCACACAAGCTAGCAGTGTTTCCCCGTAGTTTCTGTCCTCAGTTCCCACTTGAATCTATGCCCTGGTTACCCCCAATGATGGACTATAACCTGGAAGTATAAGCCAAGTAAACTCTTATCTCAGTTAACTTTTCTGTTGCTGTGAAGGGGCACTATGACCAAGGCAACTTAGAAAAGAAAACATTTAATTAAGAGCTTGCTTACAGTTTTGTAGGGTGAGTCCTTGACCATCATTGCAGGGAACATGGTGGCAGGCAGGCAGGCAGACATAGTACTGGAGTTGTAGCTAAGAGCTTCTATCTGATCCACAAACAGGAAGCAGAGCACATTGGGAATGAATGGCATGCATGGGCTTTAAAAGCCCACCCCCAGTGACACCTCCAAATCCTTTCTTAAAAAGTTCCACCGACTGGGAACCAAGCATTGAAATATGTGAACCAGTGGGGGCATTCTCAATTCAAACCATCACACATTCTTTCTTCACCTAAGCTGCTTTTGGTCAGAGTGTTTCATCACAGCAACAGAAATCACACTAGAACACTATTTGTTTCGTGAAATTACAGTTGCAGTGTAGGAAGAAGTGTAGATGATAGTTCTCATTACCAAGTCCTGGAACTGATTGAAGCATTATCCTCTCAGCCTGGTATCAATGAACAATGAATACCAGCAGCTTATTTGTGGTAATGTATTCCCATATGTTTCAGGATTCGATAACCTTTGAGGATGTGGCTGTGTACTTTACCCAGGAAGAGTGGGCCTTGCTGGACATTTTCCAGAAGAATCTCTACAGAGATGTGATGCAGGAAACCTACAGGAACCTGACTTCTCTAGGTGAGCATGACATTGCTGCTTCTTGCCCCGTCGCTTTGTGGAGTGCTGGATGCACATGCTCAGTCAGGCTTGGGCTCATGCACTAAGCATTTAATAATCACTTTATATGGGGCTGGAGAGATGGCTCAGAGGTTAAGAGCATTGCCTGCTCTTCCAAAGGTCCTGAGTTCAATTCCCAGCAATCACATGGTGGCTCAGAACCATCTGTAATGGGGTCTGGTGCCCTCTTCTGGCCTGCAGGCATACACACAGACAGAATATTGTATACATAATAAACAAATAAATATTTAAAAAAAAATCACTTTATACTTTTTTTTTTAATTATTCTGTGTTTGTATTTTAGGAACAGAATGGGAACAGTGGGATTTGGACACTTACTACAGAAGTCTGAAGAGAAACCTGAGGTATTGGACACCCACAAATAGCTGTGGATCATTGGATATTGGGAAAATATTAGAAAGAGCACAAATTCAAACTAGTTATTCTTCTAAAAGCAGTCTTCGTACACTCAGAAAATGAATGCTTGTATGTGCTGTGGATATTTGAGGTTGGCAAAACAGTCTATGTAAAAGCAGTATTAAGACCTTCCAGCTAGGGCCAGAGCATTCAGATATGTGAGCCTGAGGAGGCCATTCTCATTCAATTACCACATGCTCATCATTCGAAACAAACAACTAAGGGGACTGGAGAGGTAGCTTGGGTTAAGAGCACCGGCTGTTTTTCTAAAGGACTCGGGTTCAGTTCCCAGCACCCACATGACAGCTTAAAACTGTCTGTAACTCCAGTTCCAGGGGATCTGATACCTTCAGCAATGTACATAAAGTTAAATATATTATTAAAATATATAAAACATAAAAGAATTTTTAAAAAGTAATAACAAAATCTTTAAAAATAATAGGGAGCGTTGGTCCAGCCAGCTTTCAGACCCTTGACTCTTCTTACGTGGAAGCTGGGGTCAGGTGGGCAGGGTGCAGCACATGCTAGACTCTGCAGGAGGTGTCTGTAGGCAGCAGTCTCGGGGATGGGGAAGCTGCGTTGCTAGTCTTTGCACACACTGGTCTGGCGCCTGTAATACTTGAACACACTGTCAGTGTTAGCACGCAGCCTGGAGGAAGGCTTTACCACGCTGTACCCATGTCAGCAATGTGCATTCATTCGGGATTTTGTCTCTTTACACATTTACTCCAGGACTTCCTTGTCTGCCCACACTGTGGGGCATCAATGCCTAAAATACCTTGTGAATGTTTCCAGTATAAATCTAATATCTATTAATAAGTATGATTGTTAATAAGCAAACTCTTAAGATTATATTTCTTAATTCTTACAGAATCCAGATGGTAAAGAGAGACCATGAACTTAGAGACAGTGACCAAGGCAGAGAAACCACAGCTCAAGATCCAGTCGGTATCACAAGCAAGAAAATGCCCGGACCAAAGCTTCCTGAATGTCAGTCATCCCTAAAAAGGCCTGCTACGTTCAACCCTCAAAACAGACCATGTGACTATCAGAAATATGTAAAGAAATACTGTGAGTGTAGAGCATGTGGTAAAGTCTTTACCTGTCCCAGCTCCCTTAAAAATCATAAAAAGGTCCACAGTAGAGAGAAACCTTATAGATGTCCGCATTGTGAGAGAACCTTTAGTTATCACTTCTGGGCTGAAAGGCATATGCTGACTCATAGTGCAGACAGGCATAAATGCAAGCTGTGCGGGAAAATATTTCCTAATGCTGATACCCTTCGGGGTCATAGAAAAATTCACTCCGGAGAGATGCCTGAATGTAAGGATTGTGGGAGAATGTTCTGGACTTCCAGCTCCCTCGAGTTGCATAAAAGGCTTCATACAACAGAAAAACTTTATGAATGTAAACACTGCAGGAAAACCTTCAAGAATTATTGTTCCTTTAGACTACACGAAAGGATTCACACTGGGGAGAAACCTTATGAATGTAAGCAGTGTGGGAAAACCTTCCGACATTCCAGCCATGTTAAAGCACATAAGAGAACTCACACTGGAGAGAAGCCCTATGAATGTAAGCAGTGCGGGAAGACCTTCACTTCTGGGCATTGTGCAAGAAGACATTTAGGGACTCACAGTGGAGCCTGGCCTTACAAGTGTGAGGTGTGTGGGAAAGCTTATCCGTATGTCTATTCCCTTCGGAATCATGAAAAAAGCCATGCCGAAGAGAAACTTTATGAATGTACGCAGTGTGGGAAAACCTTTAAGTACCGTGCTTCCTTACGAAACCATTTGACCACTCACACGGGGGAGAAGCCGTATGAATGTAAGGAGTGTGGGAAAACCTTCAGCTGTGCCAGTTACCTTCAGAATCACATGAGAACACACGGGCAGCCCTACAAATGTGAAGAGTGTGGTAAGGCGTTCTCATACTCCAAGAGTCTTCGAAAACACATGAATGTACACAGTCGATTGGTGGGAAGCTTTAAGTGAGTTAGAGGTCGATTTAAGAAGAAGAAGTACTCCACACGTTCAAGCTCATGTTCAAAATGAGCCTGTGAGTGCAGTGAGTCTGCATTGGTTTCGGTGAGATGGGCCACAGCTTGTGCCAAAGCCAATGAGTTGAAAGCTGTTGGGAAGCTTTTGAGCACTGTGGACTTAACTGGAGATGGATACTGACCTGGGAAAGCTTTTTGCTCATTCTTTGTTTGTTTGTTTTTTTTTCTTTTTCTTTTTTTTTTTTTGGATTTTCAAGACAGGTTTCTCTGTGGCTTTGGAGCCTGTCCTGGAACTAGCTCTGTAGACCAGGCTGGTCTCGAACTCACAGAGATCCACCTGCCTCTGCCTCCCAAGTGCTGGGATTAAAGGCGTGCGCCACGGCTGCCCGGCTTTCTTGATGGATACATGGGATGACAGTGGAGAGAAAGTCTATCACTGTTAGCAGAATGGGGAACATTTTTCCTTGAATTTCAGTGTGGGGAAGTCTTCACTAGCCTCCACCACAGACCCAGACTGTACATGGAGGAACACTTGGACTCCTACAATGTTAACTAACATGTTCAAGTCCCCAAATCTCATAACCCTAAGAAGTATAAAACCCGCTGGTGTCAGTATACTGTGGATTTCTGATTCTTAGTCATAATTCTGTTGCTGCTTTTTGTGTAGTTATAACTTTTAAGTACTTTGGTAATTATTGGATCAGTAAAATCTGACTTTGTAAATGTCCAGATTTTTGCCATAGTCCTCGACTGTTCAGGTGTGGCTGTACTTGGTCATTTGTTTTCTAATAAAAATGTCTTTTTCCAGCACAAAATTTACTCGGTCCTTTGTGCTAAAATAGTGCTGCTTTTCATGCTTGTTGTGTAGTGGGAGGGAGGTGTGTGCACTTGTCAGCTGCCTGCGGGGCCCGGAAGAGAGCACTGGATCCCCTCAAACTGGTCTGAGGTGATAGAGAAGCTCTGAGTCCTCTCTCCAGCCCCGCCTGTTTCTGGGGAGGTGTCTCAGAAGCAGCCCTGGCTGCAACATTGCCACTACGGATCTGTTTGTTCGTGGATGTTGCTTTGACAATTGGCTTTCCTTGGGGGAGCCATTCAGCGGCTTAGTGTCCTGGACTCAGAACCCTAGCACTGCAAGCGAGTTGGTGCTGTGTGAGTCAGATGGATTTCTGAGTGGAATCACGTAGGGTGGGCATTCCTGAACTAGCCGTTCTGGAATCCTTTGCTGTTTCCATTGCACTTTGCTGGCAACTTAACTTGCACGAGCTGTGACGACAGTGTGAGGAAGGGGCTGTCAATCTGGGGTGTCAGAGTGCTGGTAAACAGGAGCATGCTGCCACTGCCAGCGCCGTCTTCCAGTGTGTGTGTCCAAGTTGCAGGACCCCAGGAATCTGAGTAGTCATCAGTGATATTACTGGCTGATCCATCTGTAGGAAATTTTAGTTATCTTAAGAATTGCAATTTACCACAGTGAGATCTTACTGGGTTAGACTTCTCCCAGAGTACACCACCCCATGTGTTCACAAAGAAGGTGTCAAAAGATGGAGCTGTAGAGATGGCGTGGTGGCTTGTGTGCACACTCGTGTGTGCCCAGGGTTTCCGAGAGTGGGCGTCCAGTCTGCTGCAGCTGGAATTAAAGGCATTTGTTAGACATCCAGAATAGGTACAAGGAACTAAACTCGGATCTTATGCAAGGGTATGAAGCATTTTGTCTTGTTTCGAGATTTATTTTTTATTATGTACACAGTGTTCTGTCTGCATGTATACCTGCAGGCCAGAAGAGGGCACCCAATCTCATTACAGATGGTTGTGAGACACTGTGCGGTTGCTGGGAATTGAACTCTGAAAGAGCAACCAGGGCTCTTCACCTCTGAGCCGTCTCTCCAGCCCCCATGAAGAGCTCTTGACTGCTGAGCTGTCTTTGTCTTCAGCCTCAGACACTATTTCCAGTGTTAATCTCGTGACGTCCTTACATGCCAGCGCAGTCAAGTCATCAAGTGTGCACACAATGCAGGGACTCGGGGCTCGCAATATAGAGTCAGAAAACACTTTCTTAAAACCTAGAGCTAGTTTTTTTATTTAAAAAAAGATGGATGTAGAAACAAAACAACTTTAGTGGGATGGAGAAAGCTCAGTAAGATACCTGCCGTGCAAATGTGAGTTCATTTTTAGAATTAACATAAAAAGCCAGGTGTGAGTCCACAGACATACATGCAAGCAAAACACCCACACGTGAAACTGAGTACAGTGTTGTGCACTTGTAATCCCAGCACTGAGGAAGCAGGACCAGGGGGACTGGGCCTTGCTGGCCCAGATTTACAGAATTTTCTATATATTACCAAAGGACTTTATATCCATGCTCACTGCTGTTCTGTTCATGAAGGCTCAGAAATGGAACCAAAGGCCAGCAGCTGCAGAGTGGAAGTGGGGACTATGTACACAGTGGGACATTAATTGGTTGTAAAGAAAACTAAAATGTAATCTGTGTGCTGAAGGAGGGAGGGCCTGCTTTTGGTCCCAGCCGCCCTGTGACAGGAGGAGCAGGCTGCTTGTTGTCCCAGCTGCCTGGCTAGCTTGCACCCAAAATAGTCACACAGAAACTGTATTCATTTAAACACTGCCTGGCCCATTAGTTCTAGCCTCTTATTGGCTAACTCTCACATCTTGATTCAACACATTTCTAATAATCTGTATGTCACCACGAGGTCATGGCTTACCGGGAAAGAATGTCTGACCTGGCACCTCCATGGCTGCTCTCTTTCTGCTCTGCTTTCTTCCTCCCAGAATTCAGTTCTGTCTACTTCGCCTACCTAAGTGCTGCCCTATCAAAAGGCCAAGAAGTTTCTTTATTCAACCAATGAAAGCAACACATAGACAGAAGTACCTCATACACCATGCGGGAGCATGGAAGCACCTGGAAGGTATTTGAAGCTGTTTAACTCTGGTTCAGAAACAAATGCCACATATTCTGTCCTTTGTGGATTTTAGAGAATTCTTTTAATGACTTGTTTTTCTGGGAGGTGGATGTGTGCTTTGCCTACAAGTGTGTACATTCACCGTTGGTGTGCTTGCTGCCTGCAGAGGTCAGACTTGTGCAATGAATGCCCTGGTCCTGGAGTTACAGGTGTGGGGGCAGGGAGTGGTTCCCATGTCCTTAGCAGAAGCAGCAACTGCTCTTAACCACTGAGCTTCCCACCCCATCACATACAGATTTTAGCTTGTGGTTTGTAATATATGCATTTTTTTAGTCACAGTATAGGGAAAGGACCCATCAGAGGAGATGAAATGCCTTTCAACAGAAAAGGACTCTCTAGCTAACTCAGTGAACATTAACTATGCAATATTTGAAACCTAAGAGGTCATGATTTCTCGACTAGTATCTGACTGCTTATGACAAGAGTCTAAATTAATGTCTGGGTTTGGTGAATAAAGCCACTGGCTGCTAGGTCTGAGGACCCATTCCCCAGAGCCAGGTGGGAAGGAGAGAGCCAGTTCCTGCAAGTTGTCCTCTGACCTCACACACTTGGTGCCTATGCATGCCAGCATACAGTCAATAAAGCAAATGTAATTACATTCCCTGACTAGGGTCTATCAGGAGCTGCTGTTCAAATGTACTCCCAGACATATCTCCTGATCTCCAGCACTGCTGGAAGTGTTGCGGTTTTCCTTATTCATGTCCACACATTTGGCCGTTTCCATCGAGTTGCTTTTTTTAAATTTGATTTGTCTTTCACTAGTTCTTATTATGCAAATGTAAATATTTTAGTAAAAATGTAAGGGGATGGAGAGATGGTTCTGTGGGTGAAGAGTGCTGTGCAAGCGTGAGAGCCTGAGCTCGGATTTCCATCCCCCACTACCAACCAGGGACAGAAATAGGGGATCCTGCAACTCCCTGGCTAGTCAGTCTAACCAATCAGGTGACCTCTGGGCTCAGTGAGAGCAACTGTCTCAAAAGGGGAACTGAAAAACAGATGGTAGTAATATAAAAACAATACAAATAAAACAAAAGTAAAATAAATACTAAAAGATAAAGAGCAACTGAAAAAGAGAGATTGAAATCGACCTCGACTCCACAAACATGCACACACATGCACAAGCACACATGTGCAAATACCTGCATGTGCATATACACACAATATCCATACACATACACAAAAAATAAGACAAAAATCTGGGAGGGGCTTGGTAAAGGACCTTCCCTTTTGAATGACTCTCATCAACATGTGGGATCCTAACTATGATATACACACAGGACAGATAGCTAGCTTCCTGTGTTGTCATTCATGCCTAAAAAGAATTGCAGAGATGTGAAGGAGTGGCCATGCAATTTTCGAAGGGCTTTGCAACTCTCAGACTTGGTATATGGTGCAGAGTATGAGGTCATGATCTCTCTCTCTCTCTCTCTCTCTCTCTCTCTCTCTCTCTCTCTCTCTCTGTCTCTCTGTGTGTCTGTGTCTATGTCTGTGTGTCTGTATCTCTGAAATGGGGTCTCCTGAAGCTTGCTATGTAGACCAGGCTGGTCTCAAACTCACAGAGATCCACCTGCCTCTTCCTCCCAGTGCTGGGACTAAAATCAAAGACTGGCCACACCTGTCTCCCTTTAATTTGTTGATACAAGGTCTCTCAAGGAAAGCAGAGCTTACCGATTTGACTAAACAGTGGGTCCCTATGGCACCTCTCCAATGCTGTTGCTAATGGCGTGTGGGTGCAGGGGATTTACCGACCAAGTCATCTCCCCTGCTGCCTGTGGGACTCTATCGGGGAGTCATCAGCTATGTTTAGTTAGCGAGCAGCACTAGATGCCAGGCAGAGGGAGAATATGACAAGTAAATTCAGGGTAGTCCTTGCCGTGTGAACGACTACGTGTGTGTTGGTATACTGAGTTGCTCAGGACAACCAGAGAGACATTCGAGGATGTAAGGAAACTTTGCAGTGCCAGGGGAACAATCTGCAATGGTCTGCACCCCGAGCATCTCTGCAGAAGCGTTGCTATTGATCGTTACACAAAAGTTATCTTTAAAATAAGTCAAATTTCTCATACCAGAGCCTCTGTTCTGATCTGTGTGTTGCATGACCCATGAACTTCTCAGTACTTATCGTACAAGAATTCTGTGTTTGTGGAATGTCTTGTGATTAAAGTCAAGGCCATAAAGCTCCTTCAGATAAACCGGGGCTGGAGGGATGGCTCAGCAGTGATGAGCACTGGCTGCTCTTCCAGAGGCCCAGGCTTGATTTTCAGCACCCACATGGCAGCTCACAACTGTCTGTAACCCCTGTTCCAGGGGATCAGACTCCCTCACACAGACATCCATGCTGACAAAACAACAATGTACATCTAAAAAAAGAAAAGAAACAAGAAAAAATAGCTCCATAAATCTCAGAAAATACTCCTGATCAGATACAGAAGATTTCCTCAGGTCTTAGGCTTGTCTAAAACAATTCCAACATCCAGTGTTCATGCTAGATACAGTGACTTCACTAATGTTCCCACGACACTGTGGAAGCCAGAGGACAACTGGCTGGAGTCCATGCGCTCCTTCCACTCCGGATCATCACGCTTGGCGGCCAGCACCTTTACTTCTCAGTCTCTACACCCTGCTCACAACCCTTGATGCAAGTTGGAGTTTGTGCTTGAGACTTGGGGGAGGAGGAGGCGCATTCTTCCAGAATGGGGTCCATCTGTGCTCTGTCTGGCAACCTAGCTCTGAGCTGTGCCTTCAGAGCTCACCTTCCAGGAGCTCACTGGACTTAACTGTTCTCAAGAAGCCCTCAGTGTGGGGGACTCTTGCAGCCCCTTTTGCTGG